TATAAATCATGTGTAAATAGCCTATAGTGTAGGACTACTGTATAATTTCATTCGTGTTTTTTGATTGTAATGTAAACATTACAAAATTTCAGATGACATCAATAAAGTTAAATGTACGTCGCATTATTCCATAACATTGGCTGTTATGATTTTTTTAGACATGATTATTACAATTTATCATAATAGTTTGAAAATTGTGCTCAATTTCACTATTTACAACCTCTAGGCATATGTCCTAATAATTATGTGAGATATTGACTGTCCTCATGATAATCGCAGGAATCAACATCAACAGCGTCAAGATTTAATTGACTCCTAATCAACACAATTTGAAGGAAAGTTACAGTCGGGAAGTGCACTGTTAGTCAAATAAAGTTTAAGCACAGTACGCACGGCATAAGAGATTCGAACCAGACACAGGACTAACGTTATGTGATAAATACACATCACAACACCGTTCAGCTGGACATCTACTGTAGCTCTTGTGCCAAGCTAGGTAATAAAACATAACGATAAAAAACAAAACTAAGAGAAATTACTGTTTTTTAGGAAGTCTACTTACAGCTCTGGTATTCGAAAGTTTACAAATAAGAGATTTATTTTCAAGTCCATCAACAAGATCGCCAGGTCAGCATTGCTTACGCCAACGAGTGAAAGCTGACCGAGTGGGACTCTTGTCCGGTTTCTAGCACGGTCCGATTCTCTTTTCCTTTTTCTTGACATTTCTGAGTCTGACCGATTTTTCTTAGATGCGCGCAAGTGGCTTCATATGTTGATGTGTGTGACGTCGTTGCCGTAAAGCATTTCGCGATTCTCGTGAGATTTGTCAGGGCTCTCAAACTTGCATTGCTGTTTTTTCGGGCGGCGTCCCCCCCAAGCTTTACTACCAGGATGATTCGCCCTACTGTGAGTTTGTTTACCACCATAACGACTTTGAAGCTGTTATATTAAGGTACAAATCTTACATAGTGTGCCTTTAAAAGTCTTCTAATATACAGTGGCTTTGAGTAAGAAAATAAAATGCCTGTACAATGTGCAATATTCACTTATAGTCTTCCCCTCCAGTCAAGTGGATCCTTAATTCAGTCAAACAAACTCAATTAATGAATTAATCAGTCATATTTTGTAAACAAATCATTTAAGATCATCAGTGAATAAATACTTGCATACCCAGCATTGTTAGGTCTGTACCTAACAGAAAGCTATTGTATTACAGTACTTCAGAAAATCTAAAATGTAGAGCACAAGTTGTGTTGACCACTTCAATGGTGCTGTAATGGAGCTATGAAAAATTATTTATAAATTCAATAAATTAATTTTTAATTTATAAAGAATCTTTTCATAGCTCCATTACAGCACAATTAAGGTGTGTTATATATGCAGCACCAGTATGTGTGTGTGATTCCTATATATTAGAAAAGCTAAAAAAAAAAAAAAAAAGCTAATTAGCCTGTTAGTAACAAACTGTTTAATATGCATCCTTCTCTTCCAAAACATATCAGTATGATTTAGTCTAATACTGTTCAATTACTTGTTGAAAAAAAGCATCTGCCCCTCACTCTAATTGCACGGCATATTAGCTTTAATGCACCAGTCGTTTTCATGCTTTTAGAACGCAGTACACTAAGAGCAGTAGCCATGTGACCCTTTTAAAAGACAACCTTGTAACTAGCTGATTGAGCTTAGCACAGATGGCACATTGAACATTGGCCAACAAAAGAAGCAAAACACAATAAATGAATGCTAAAGAGGAAGAGTACCATCTGACGCTAACACCCAGAAGTCAGGAAACCACTGGTCAATTCACTGGCAAAATGGATCCTATTAAGAAAACAAAGCTGATAAAAACGAGCTCGAAGCAACAGGTTCTTTGGACCCAACTCGCACATTTCCAGCTAATTCACATCCACAGATACGTTAACAAGCTCCATAAAACACTGCCATGTTTAAAAATGACATTAATGTACTATTAATCACAGGCATTTGGGATAATGTACTGGTCCCATAATCAAATAAAATCTTGCAGACAAGTTAGAGGACAACATCATGGAGAATCAGGAAATTGGCAGAGTTAAGTGTTTACAGAATCTCCTCCTATCGTAACACGCATAATAAGAATAGAATAGAAAAATAACCTGAGAGTCCTTTGTACAAGCACAGCAAATGGATTATTATGACAATAACAACGTACAATACACCGGTTTTCAATACAAGGGGATTTTAAACAATATGCAGATAAACAGTAAAAGAGTCTGTAGTGAACCGTCACTGATTAGGGTCTTTGTTCTGTAATCTTTCATTGTTAGCATATTTCACAATACAATGTTGGTGCTCGTTTGACAAATAAAACAAGGAATTTTTTCCACTTTATAGAGGACAAAGGGGAAAACAAACTGAATTTAAGTTCTATGAGTTTCTGCAATCATCTCCATGTTTTTTTCCATAGAGAAAACACAATCAATATGTATCATATCTCATTGAGGCGGGTTTACTGAACAGTCGGATTTATGCACAAATAAAAGACGATTCTACAAAGAAGATCATTTTCATGCTAATATGTTTCCAAAAATAATCAAGAAGTTCTTGAGGAATTGTTTATTTTTAAAGGGATACTCGTTTTTTTTTTTCCATATTAAACTATGTTATTCCCTTAACTAAGACGAGTTGATGCATACCTCTCTCGTCTCAGTGCTTGCACTCAATCGCTCTGGCGCGTGAGACACTTTGATAGCACTTAACTAGCCTAGTTCATTAAATATGGGCCAAGCGGAGAAGCGGCCAAACACCTCCACAGTTTCCCTATTTAAATACAGTTACTCGAGTAGTTTAACTCGACCAAGGACTGTGACGCAAAAGAAAACGTTGCGCTTTTCTAAGCGTGTAAAGTGGATAACTATATTGTATGGCGGAATAGCTTGGGAGCACTTCGACTCTGCACATATAAATCTATGGAAAGTGAGAGGGGGAGAGGACTTTCCACGAGTGTTGAGATTACTGCGCCGAGTCGAAGTGCTCCCAATGTATTCCGCCATACAATATACAGTAGTTATCCACTTTACACGCTTAGAAAAGCGTAAAGTTTTTAATTTGTGTCACCTTCCTTGGTCGAGTTACACCACTCAAGTAACTGTATTTAAATAGGGAAAACGTGGAGGTGTTTGGCCGCTTCTCTGCTTGGCCCATATTGAATGAACTAGGCTAGTTAAGTGCTATCAAAGTGTCTCGCACGCCAGAGACGACAGAGGTATGCATCAACTCATCTTAGTTAAGGGAATAACATAGTTTAATATGAAAAATACGGTGGAGTATCCCTTTAAGACTTCATAAATTATCTATAATTGTGCTATTTGCAGTAATGCTAATTTGCAAACCCGCTGATTCAATGCACATGAAGCTGGACAGGCTATTTTAATACTAAAACACCGGTAAACAATTACGGTCAAGAGGATTCTATTATTTGCACTCTAATCTTGCACTTCATAACTTGCATGCGAGAATCTGGTTCAAGAGCTGTTTTTTTTCTAGTCACAAATATTTATAAAAAACAAAACAAAAAATGCATTCCTCTATCTCTCTCTCTGTGCATGTGTGTGTGTTGAAACAGTCTCAACAGTTGTTGAAAGTGTATTAGAGCCTTTTTCATTGATGCACTCTGCACTTGAGTTGGCAGATCTGAGACATGCCCACCATCTAAGCTTCTCAATTTCTATGGACCTCAACTGGAATCTTTCTACTTCCTTAACAGTGTCTCATGTAGGTGTCTTCATACATAGTATCACAGCCATTCAGTGGCTTCCTTGATCGTTATATAGCAGTACAGTTCTCTCCAGAAAGACGAGCTACAAAAGGGAAAAAAAACAAAAGCTATTTCACGGCAAGGTGGCTTTGAGGCAATATGCTTGATTTGTGTGGGTTGTTGTAGGTGTGGTGTGTGTGTGTGTGCGAGTGTGTGTAAGTCTTCCTCTTAAAAATCAGATGGTAGTATAAGAAATATAATTTGGAGACTGTCATCCATCAAACATGGGAGGTTGTTATTCTCATTGAAAAGTAACAAAAAAACATGTCGAAACGGTAAGGTTTTTGCAGGGATAGACTTTCTAAGATGCTACGAATCCAATAGGATGCAATATATCACAATGATGCCACAAAACCAATAACAGACCTGACAGATGTGTCAAGAGCGGTTGTGATGTTGTGTGGTGACATCTCAGATCGAGTACAGAATGTGCTGCTTGAATTGCAGATTGTGATTTCCTCTCATGGCACTCTATTTAGTTGCATTTACTAGAAAATAGCATCAATCTCAACCCTGAGATATGTTGTTAGTCTGAGTGAAATGACAATTTCATGTTACTGACGGAAAGCCTGAAATTTCCCGCCGGATCTATGAATCCTGCTCTCGTGGAAGCACTCTGTAAGCTAATATAACTCTCGAAATGCATGAAAATAAGCAAATATTTGAGATTGCATGCAAAAGTGGATTGTAGAGCAGTACATGAGGCTATTAAGAGTGCTGCATGGTTAAAAAAGGAAAAGGGTAGGAGAAAAACATGAAATGCCTGTATAAATAAGTAGTAAAGTCACAGGAAAATATTCCACTGCTGCAGGAATTCAATTACTTAATGTAAACAATAAACCAGAAGTCTAGCTTTTGCTCACTCTCAGTGTCTCTCAAACAGTGAATACATTTGACATGTTTATTCTTACTAGTAAGGGAAATTGTGTTGCTTAGTGTAATTTGCGAATGCAACCAATTCTCTACTTTATACTTCGGTGTAAAGCTAATCCACTTCACCAGTTCGCAAATGGATGAATTGTTGTGATAAACACACCAGATGGACTCAGTTTATGTATGGCATACATTTGTTTGCATGTTATGCCTGTAAATGGAGCCTCAAGATGGGAAAGGCTAAATGCTGTAAAGCTGGACTGATTTCAGCACCATGGACAGCTCAACATGGCTACACACATTTCTCAATGCTCACATCTAATCCACTCACCTCCAATATCCGGACGCAGTTTTTTGTCATACTCCTTTAGTAAGTTGTTTAGTATTTGCGTTGCGTCTGTCTCATGGGTTTTGGGGGCCAACATTTGATTCACAGTAACGTCGTCATACTCATCATCCTCAGAAGCGGCTGTTTGAGAACTAAAGAAATAAAAAAAATAATAATTTCACAGATCGCCTTTAGGGTCATCATCTTTTTGAGAGAGTACAGAGGACTGGTTAGCAATCAGACAAGAAAAAAGAAAACAACATGGAAGTAGAAAGCATTTCACAGTTGCACTAAATGACAGTTAAAGGTTGGGTTTCCCAAAGCACTCAGTAGAACTTTAGTCAGACGCAGAGTAAGGATTCTAAGTCATGTTCCCCAAAATCATCATTATCCAAATGGCATGTCTCTAATCACACATAAGTCCATTACATGCCACTTAAAATGGACATTTTTTTCAGCATTTTATCAGAGACCAGAGTGCTAATTAAATTATATGAATATATTTTGATCATTGCAAATCACTGTACACTATCTAAAAAAATACCAACCTCAGAGACCTAAATTTAAATGCCAACTTTGAAGGCCTACTTTGATAAGTTTAAGTAACTAATTGCAATAGAGAGGCTATATATTCTTCATTGTGTATATATTTCCCAAGGAAAGCCAAGTTTAAAAAAATAAAACATAGTATTCATAGAGATAGCCTAATAGAAATAATTGGCTTAATTATTGGCTTTAGTTAAATAATAATTGGCTTTAGTAAACTTAGTCATCATTTGTAAGATGTTGTAAGTCCTCAGTGCTAAATGACTAAATGTAAATGTAAACAAAAAGATTGATTGTTTTTTAATTTAGAAATAAAATTAAATAGGCTATCAGTTCTAAATATCAGATATCAGACACTTAAAATATTAACATTAACATTAAAATAATAGGAAAACTGATCAAGGACAAACAATGTACAACCTTAACAAAGAACATTTGAGTGACTCACTCTTTCCCCTACAAGGAAAGGTCCATATCTGCTCCAGTAGCTTTTGGTGGTCTTTACAGAGACATATAGTCACAAAGACACAAGATGCACGATTCACACCTCGTGCAAATTATTCATCACAAGTTGAGCCAATTACTACCATTATAATTTCTATAATTCATTTCAGAACTTTTTTAACAACTTTCGGAACCTCGACAAAATAGAATGTAATTTCCACGTTTTCCATTTTCACGCTAGGATTTGAATACAAACTTTTGGACACACGTAGGTCAGCACCTTTGGAACTGACACCTCCGGTAACGACGAACGCATGCGTTATCTCTACAGTAACCTAGGATACGACGGTAGCTAAAATTATTATTACAAGCATAATTGTCTATGTCATCAGGAAACCCAAGCAAAGACCAATCTTGCAGATAACAACGTAGATGCTGTTTAAATACATGACACTGACAGTAAAGTCTTACAAAAGCTCTGAAAAAAAAAAACTATGCAAATATTTAAATAAATAAAGTAGCCTATTTTGAACTTCTTAAAAAGCACAAATCAAAAGGCTTATTGTTAAACTTAGGTGCTCAGTGCGTGCATCACATATTAATCGCCAGATTGGTGATATTATGTGGCATCAGGCTAGACAGAACAAATCTGCAACGGATAAACAGAATTACCCATGAACAATTAATTCATGTCAAGTCAAAGAGGATAGCAACGTCACTTACCATGCACGAAACACTGACAGAAGTAAGAAGTAGAGGAACAATTTGGTGGACATGTTTTAGGTTGACTCCGTGCAGTGTGCCACATTCAACACGGAGACTCTTCTAAGAAGAAAAAAAAATAGTGACAGAGCTGCAGCCCTTTTCTTCCAGCTTCAATTAAAACAGTGGCGAGCAGTCTATAGGTTATAGTCCAACGGGAACGGTAAGTCCTCCTCGTCTTAGTGTCCGGTGCTTAAAGTTCACTTGCATTGGCAATTAGCGAGATCAAATAATAATAGGAGAGCCCCTCCTGCTCCTTGAAGTTGCGCTGCCTTAGATTGCACCACCAGATACACATACTGACGTTCACACAGAGGCAGAGAGCACAAACTTACAAAGTGGACACATTCAAACCTCTAACGCATCCGTTAGTTTCTCCAAATTACGTCATAAAAAAAACCAAAGTCTGCTTTCCCAGACGCTTCGGTGGAACTTCAGATCATCTTCGGGTGCATCTGATATTTTCAGCGTCAGAATGCTTCGAGGAGAGACATTCAGAAGCGGCTGTTTACAGTATCAGCTAGGTAAATGATCACCGCGCGGACTATGTGTTCCAAATGAAAATTGGCGCATAATTGCTGCAATTACTTTGCATGTGCATTGATCGCAGTGCGATTAACCCGATAATAGAGCAAGATTGAGGATGCAGAAAATGTCATCATCCAATTTAGAGTCGAATTAATTATTACAGCGTCTTATTCATTGCATCGCACATGTTGGTGTTTCTGGCATAAATATAAATACAAATGCAGTTTTCTGTACTCATATTATTGCAAGTGAAATGTCATTCGTCATTCTTTATTTTAGTATCTGACTCGGATATACTGCTGCTAAATTAACCTTTAAAGCTGGAGAAATGGCTATCCATACTTTGTCCTCGCATTGTTATGTCTGAGCAGGTGCACATATGCAGTATAATATTTGAGAGACAGCGCCGACATTTATCACCACAGGCAGCTCAGTCGCCCACGCACTTTAGGAAAAAACAAGCCCTTTCTCTCTGGCTTTGCTGTGCGTGTTGTGAGATTTTTCCTGACTTTCTCTCTAGAAAGTTCAGTATCTGCTACACTTAAAAAAACGCCAAAGGCAAGTCAAATTTTGATTATTTAGAAGTCTTTTGTGACATTCAATCAAATACTAATAAATAAATAACGAGTTCCATTAAAGCTGAAGTGTTTTTGCTCCACTGTTTTGAACAACAATTTTTAAAAATGGCGATTGTTTCAAACAGGTTTCCCCCTTCCTCGCGCACTCTCAGATCGCTTGTCGAGATCGAAAGTTTGGTAGCACCACAAAGCAATATAGTAGAAACATCAGCCTAAAATGCATTGCTTATTATTGTCTCTAAATATTGGATAAAGTATTTTAACATATAAGAAATTACACACTTCAGTTTTAATAATAATCAAACAACACGTCGAACTAAATCGCATATTTTCAAGTTCTTATGACAGTGTTGTGTCTCCCTTTTTGGGTTAGTGAGAGCATGAACTCGGCTAGTTCAAATGCATGATAGACTATCCTCTTGTGGCTGATTACAGTAATGCAGATTGGAAGTGCAGCACATAGGCTACTAAACCAAACTAAGTGGGAGAAAAAAAAAAACGAGTGCAGCTAACCACAAGGAAACTGACCACAATTGAAAACTTAGCAAATTATAGATGTACAATCAAAGTAGTGCCAAACCTTCTAGTGAAAACAAACACGTTTTAGACCACTTTAAATGAAAGGAAACAAATGCACAACAAAGGCCTGTAAAAGCAAAATGATTAAAATCAATTACAAAATACATTATGACAATAATGATGCAAATAATAGAGCGTACAACTGTTTTGAATACTATGCTTTTAAATCCTTGCCAGTTGTGACATCTCTATGCTTCAATTGTGGATGGTCAATGTATTATGTCACTTTCAAATTTATTCCATGCTAACAATCATGTCACTACCACTTTAAATGCTTTTCAGCTGTCATCTCTGCACAATAGATTAAATCAAAATAGTGACATAACCGAACCCTTTTTAATAAGAAAATGCATTTTCAGCTTTAGGATATGCAATCTATGTTTTTTTTTTTTTCTTAATAATAAAATGAAAGCAACTGGGTAGCTATCCACAATACAAACATAAATCTGTAATGACATATCTTAGTGACAGCTTCTAAACTGTACACTAGCGGAATTCCGGTCCGGCACCAGGAATAGGAATCCAGGCTCTCACTCCGCCACTCAGGGGATTAAAGGTTTAACATCCATTGGCATGCTGTGCATTATTGTGTGAGGGATGAATTCAGTATATTGGAGTGGCTTACACTTGCCTTACATGTAATAAAATGAAGTAAAGTCTTTCTGTGTGCCCCCAACAAGACTGTGACATTTCAAATGAATGACTCTGAAACAAAATAACAGCATAACATTCATGAATCTTAAGAATGGTGACAAACATGTACAGTATATGCATAGAATACACAAATTTAATTTGTATATTCTTTGTACTATGTACAGGACATCACACACTGAGCACAGCTGTCAGTGTCCAGCAATATGCTAGTAGCACTCACAATGCAAAAATGCAGTCACTTGGTTGCACTGGTCCTAGTTTAATTTGGTACTATGTAAAGAAGCACTGGTTGGAAAAAGCAACTTAAGTGAAGCTAAATCCTTCGCAAACAGATGTGGGCCAGATGTTGCCAGCACACAGGACCAGAGGAAGGATTCCGCATCCTCCCTGCTCCAGGAACTCTAGTCTTGATGTGTGCATGCTTGTGTTTGAGTGTGTGTGTAATCCATATATTATGGGGACCAAATGTCTCTACAAGTATACTAATACCAGTAAATCTTTACCTTGTGGGGACACATTTTTAAGGTCCCCATGACGAAACAAGCTTATAATGAATTATTTTTTTTGACAATCTACAAATGCAGAAAGTTTTCTGTGATGGGTAGTGTAGGGGGATAGAATATACAGTTATACAGTATAAGTATAAAAGCAATCACGCTTATGGAATGTCCCCATAATGATAGAAATACCAGTGTGTGTGTTTTGTATAATCCCAGGAGTAATCCCTGGAAGAATCCTTCTTCCAGTTACAGTGGCTTCCGCAGCAACTGTTCCATTAGGAAAACATCATGCTAAGCTTCATGTGCACAGTCTTATTGCCATGATCCTGTGAATAGCAGCCATGAACCCAATAAAGATAAAATCCCTACATGGTCCAGCACAAACGAGCAGCATTCTATCTTTGATGTAAATGAAGTCATTGTTGATATTTGTTCCTTTTAACTGAACTCATCAATGTGGGAACATTTCCTTGTAAGGTCACAAACATTCTAGGGCAGTTTAATTCTAAAGTTTGCATAAGAAATGTCTTTGAACAGAGAACTTGGTCAAGAAACGTATCAGGCAGAATTTATTGCTTCAGACATGTATGCTTTGAGGAACAGCTGTACATTTCTGGAAACATCCATTGTTGTAAAAGGGCAAATTACCGACTCACTCAAACACTTTTCATGATTCATTCTCCTATAGGCCTGAGTGGCATACAGAAGAGAGGAGTTTAATGGCTCTTGTAGTTGGCCTCTTAATGAGCTACACATCATCCATTAGGTCACTTAGTTCTTTGTGCCGTTTCACTTCCATGAAACAAGTTCAGAATAGAATGATTACAGGATAAAAACCAAATCTTCCCAAGTCACATTTTCGCAGTAACAAGGCCATTGTTCTCTCCTCCATGTAATTGCCCAAGTAAGTAGCCATGCGTTTCAGTTGAAGGCCAGAAATGGCATTATGGTGTGACATTTCCATTTTAACATGCTTGACAACAGCAGGTTCAACCTTTCTATGGTTTGTTTGACCTTCTTTCTGTCTTTCTTCACATTTTGAGAATCTGAAAAAATAGTATTCATTACTACTATGTAAATGTTTCTTTCATTTTGTTTTCAGAACAAACTTTTTACCTGATCATTTGATTTCACATGTCTTGGTGATGCAAAAAATATCGCTAGGTGTCAACATTAAAGGCTTTTTCTGACTCGTTCTAACCTCAAAGCCCACTGACCGATTTACAACAAAGAGAAAAGTAAGAAAATGGCTGCCACCTAAACAGCATGAAAAGCCAAATTAAAAACTATTAACTGTAAAGAAATGGCATATTCTGTCAAAGCCTACAGTATTTCACAACACAGTCTGTGTTTTCACCATCAGCAACCTAGCTCCCAATCATGTCGCTTTGGCTGCACAGAACCATTTTCAGCTCTTCCTCACTAATGTTAAGCCGCATCTACATTAAAAGCAAAGCATACACAAGCTATGTACAAATGATTTGAAAGTCTTAGCTGCAACCCGACCTTGTTCACCTTGCAGAATATCTTGGTCTTAAGTGTGAAAAGCTGCCTAAGGTGCACATTTCTATTGAGCTACTTCAAAAAAGCTTAGAAAAAAATGACAAATGAAAGTGAAATCAGTAATTGCGGGACATTACCGAGTCCTCGTGGTATGAAGTAATCCCTCTGAAGGCAACATTTTTAGCATGGCTAAAACATAGCATAGCATCTGCCTGCCTAACACCACTGATGCTAAAGCTATTAAACATTAAGTAGAGAAGCCTCAAGTCCATTAATATAAAGCAAGGGTTTCATTATAAGCAATTACCCATTACAACATAGTAGAAAACGGTTTTTGCATAGCATTTGGCCTTGCTGTACTTCTTTTCTTAATTTTTTTTTTTTTTTTTTTTAGTCTGTGATAAATGTTGATGCCAAATGCAGTAATTTTTGTCCAGGTCCTTTGGAAAAAAAAAATTATGAAAGAAATGGTTGCTTGTATAGTGCATTGTAAGATGAATGCAATAACCAGTGGAAACCAGGGAAATATAAAATAAGAATTCAAGGCAAATATGGCAATTATATTCCCATGCAATTTATGAAATCAGGAAAGAAATGCAAGAAGAGCACTCCTCTTATAGGTTAGCGAAGTGAGAGGTGCAGTAAATGAGTGCTCGTCATGAGAATAGCATGTTGTTGAATACTGAAGAGGAGACGAAAAAGAGGCTGTGAAGGGAATGTTGCGGTGGCGTCAGGTATTTTGCGGGGGTTAAACGGCACCTTTAATCACCGGTTCCCTGTTGAGGTATGTGGCCCAGTAGACCAAGTTAAAAGTCCCAAAGAGGACCGGGAACACTATCCGGGACATCTTGTCAATTTTGCTGACGCTGTTGTAGGTCTTTTTGGGGTCCATTGCGGGCTTGGTCTCAGCGCTCTTCAACTGAACAGTGGTGCTGTTGGAGATGGTGGAGATAGCCGCATCCTTTGTGATGTTGGGGGTGAAGTTAACTCCAGATGAGCAGGCATTGTTCGGCTTTTTGGAGAGCGCCAGTGGGTCTTTTTTCTGTGGTTGAGAAAGGTGAGGAGAAGATATTTTTAGAGTCAAGAGATTTTAAACAAGATTGTCAGTGTAAGAATGAAGCTGCTAACTATCTGTTTGCAGAAAGCCCAGATAATGAACCAGTGTGAAGGTCGTACACTTCTAATTAAAGGTGGAAAAACAGCCAGGGTAAACAGAGATCTGACTCCGAACATTAAACAATGGCCTCTGCAAGGCCAGCAGAAGAAGTGAATTAATAAAGCAACAGTATAATAATGGAGCAGTCAAGACTGCTACCAAGAGTATGTGCAAGTGACTTCGAGGCAGTTTTAAAGTAAAATGCCAGTTAGTTTATCACAGTAATCTTCTGTTCTCAATCAGTGAGACATTGGGCAAATATTCATCTAGAGAAGTTATCATGCTTTCACGCATTTTTTTTCTCCACAATTACTATAATTACTTTAGATTGAAGAGAGGATGTGGTTCCAGCTCTAAAAATCCTGCTGTACTGCATATATCCAGTACTTTCAGGTGGGAAGAAGTAATTTGTCACCATGCCAGTGGACAAAAGTATTGAGTTGCTTATAGAAAGCCCATTTAATTGATTGTAAATTGATTGTAATCTAGTTTACAATACATGAACTGGATCAAATTGGAAAAATCCATTCTCGAGTGGTCACAGCAGTTAACAGCTCACTGGAAAGAAAGATTTTCATTGAATAACTTCGTTGAATAATTTTGTTGAATAACAACAAAATTGCTATAAAGAATTCAGAAAACACACATACACTACATACACACACCACCGTTCATTAAAGGTAGAGTAAGCAATTAAAAAAAAAAAAAACGTTGAATACTGTTGATGTGTAAAAAATCAACCTAAACAAACCCACCCCTGCTCTTCATTACTTCACTTTACAGCCCGCACACAACCGCCTTGCTCCGAGCTGGTCTCGAAACCCGATCGCCAGCATGCGAGACAGGTGCTAACAAGGACATTAAACACCAGCTTCTCTATTCTGGTGTGACTAGCTGGCCTCAGTTACACACACAATGCAAGAACGAATGTCTATTTATCATAGCAGTATTTCTTAAAATCTCCCTCTTGCTCACTCTTTCTCCTCCATCATCATATGCCCCCTAATGCTGATTGGCTACACGTTTATTGTGGTGCTCGGTCAGACCAACTTTCCAACAGCGTTTTTTTTGAAAAACCGACACCTGATTTTGTTAAAAGTTATTATAGGTATGTGGTTTTATATAGTTATGGTTTCATTTTTTTGTTTGTTGCCAAATTGGTTTGGAACAATTGTTGAATAAACAATTAAACTGTCAGTTAAACAGATAGGCAGGCATAATTTGTCAGTTTTACTGATAAATGAGACAGCATTGACTTGGAATGAAGTTGATTCAATATAAAAATTAAACAAAAATAAAAAATAGCTTAGATGTAGTAAACTCGTTTAGCCGTATTGCTGTAGCTTAGCTTGCTAAATTTCCCAAGGTGGTAGCTTCAGTGTAGTGAAGCGTCATTTCATACAGTAACTGCTAGTTTATCTCACTACATTTTCCAAGTAGCTTGCCCAACACTGGATCTAACCGATGTATTTGGATTTATAAGTTCACAGAGATATTTTGGAGTTGATCCGTTCAGAGCTTTAAAAACAAAAGTACAAGTAAAATATTAAAGGTCCCCTGACATGAAATTTTCACTTTCTAAGGTTTTTTAACAATAATATTAGTTCCCCTAGCCTGTATTTGGTTCCCTCGTGTCTAGAATTTTCAATTGGTGTAAACCGAGCTTTGGCTATTTTTCTCTTTTCTGCAGCTCAGACGAGCTGATCTTGAATCTCCTCGTTATTACGTTATAACGAGGAAAGGTTACCTCCCAAGAGAAATAGCTTTGAGATTTGAGTTTTTCCTCGAGAGATATCATGGCTTGCAAACGAGCGAAGCATGGCAGTTGATCAGTGTTCGGATATACAAATTGAACACAAAAGTATTTTTTAGTTCCTTCATCCGAGCCTCTGAAGAAACAATGGATTAATTTTATTTTCTCTGGAAATGCGCCATCAACACTTCCCAAAGTTTTGTATGGTCCAAACATTTCACCAACGACTGTTTCCTCACCTCGATGAACGTCTGAAAATAAATCAATCGAGCTACCAAGCAACAGTTTCTGATGTGTAGCCTAATTTTTCAAGTTCAGTAAGTTAAGCCAAGTTCTCTCAAAATCGTTCAATACTGTTTGCATCAGTGACTAAAATATCAACTTCACATCGTTTCTTTTAGTAGGATGAAAATAATCGTATTTAAATTCTGAGAAAATTATACAGAAAGCAATCAAAGAACAATCTTTCCACACAGCACAAGTTTATCTGGACAACTCGTTATGAAATCAATGATGCACACTGCACAACGAAGCTCTTACTTTATGTACATCATCATGTCTGCATTGGTGAAAGCATTAGAGAGAGAGCAGAAACTGCGTTGCAATGATACGATATTCATTCTTGCGATCAACAGACTGTCCTGCTCAATGCTCATCACGGAAAAATTGTATGTGATGGGAATAGATCTAAATACTTTAAAAACTTCTCACGATTCGTTAATCTTGATAGCTGTAATAGTAAAAACCTATAATAGGTGTAGTAAAAGTATTTGAGAAAGTTTCGCATGTAATACATGGATACAGTATTTAATATGCAAGCATGTCAGCCAATCACAGCAGTGGCTGGCTACACTGAATCCCACAGCGGACACACCCCTTCAAACAGAGCGTTCAAATCAGAGGCTAAAATCGGGCTAGGATAATTGCCTTTTATTTCTAAATTATGACTATTTTTGATCTAAAAACATACTAACATTATAAGGGCAACCCAGGAAACATTATAAAATAATAAAATAACCCCATGTCAGGGGACC